CCTGCCATTGGTAATGTTGCTACTGTGATGTGCTTTGCTATATGCCTGATCTTAAACGTTAATCTCACTGGTGGCTCAAATCTGGCAATATTCTTCCTGGCTCCGATATTACTGCTGCTCAACCAGGACTCTGATTTCGTTGCCGGATTCGGGGACAAACAGAGGTATTTTCCCGTTACAGTGGCCATATCTGTATATTTGGTCATGACCTCATTATACAGCATATGGGAAGATGTCTGGCACGGAAATGCTGGGTGGGGCATGGAAATCGGGGGTCCCGGTTGGTTCTTCGCGGTCAAGAATCTAGCCCTCCTGATCCTTACATTCCCAAGCCACATCCTATTCAACCGATTCGTCTGGACGTACTCGAAAACAACAGATTCGACGCCTCTGCTAACATTGCCTCTCAATCTGCCGTCCATCGTAATATCGGATTTGATTAAGATTAGGGTGTTGGGATTGTTAGGCATTATTTATTCCGTTGCCCAGTATATAATATCTAGACAGCAATACATCTCCGGATTGAAATATATTTAGACGAAAAGAAGGGTTTAGATGCTTTGATTTTGTACAATATATTTTGGCAATTTTCAGGTGAGATTTTTGTCTAAAATGAGGGTGGTTTCAAGTTCACTCTCTGTTTGGCTTATTTATTTGCTCGTGAATGCCAGAATCTTGACATTTTGATCGTTTAAGGCTAATAATTATATGGAGAGACTCACTAGCTAGTCATTGAATGTTTTTTCTTTTCTTGATTTAACCTTTCAGCAACATGTTATATACTCACTGGCTTATATGGTATCGTACTGGTGGACGTATCGTTTGTAATGATATTTTTATTGGTGTTTTCGATTAGGGATTGTCAAGGGATTGGTTTTCGGTTCACCCGAATAGGGATGATAACGAATTGAGTTGGGTTGGATTTTTGGTTAATTCGATCTTACCCAAAAAGTATATACTCTCCATCTGAACTATTCCTGACTCAAAAAATATATTTCATCTGACCCGACCCGGAAAAATCTATATCTCTCACATGATTCCAACTAGACTCGAAATTTTAAAGTATAAACCCAATTCGACTTGATATAAAATGAGGATTTAATTAAAAATAATAATATAGGGTATTTTAGCAATTATCCATAAATTTATTACTCTCGGGTTAGTTGGGTCAGGTTGAAGTTTTTTACTCTCTATCTGATCCGATCTCACTCTTTTATAAAATCTGACTCAATTGAAGCCGAAATATTTTTAAGAAAAATATGTTCCTATCGGATCAAAATCTATCGATTTTAAGTTATATTGCTATTTCTACACCTGAACTTAATCAAAGTATAATATCTTTTCACACATTATTCAACTTGAGTTTAGAAAAGTTCTATTTAATTTAAAACCTGATTCAATTTTTAAGATAAAATTTCATATCTCGGCTATATATATATATAATTTTAATTTTAATTTAAGGTTAAAGAGTTTGGAAACAGAAATATTTTTATCTTTTAACGAGTAAAATATTTAAATATTGTGGATTAACTTCAAAAATATGTTTAAATTATAATAAGATTTATAATTTAAAGGGTATATGTATTATGTTAAATTTAATAACTATCACGTTATATGTTATCAGTTTCTAAAAGTTGAACATTAATTTATAATTGTTTTATAATCAGAGGACTATTTTCGTATTTTATCCATTATAAAATTGTAAATATATTCATAATCAGAGAAATTATGATCTGTTAAATTCTCTTAGGTGACATTTGGTTGGCATTAATTCTTTGGAATTGGTGAGAATTAGAATCAAATTCCACTACTTTCCCATGTTTGGTTCAAGTTTTCCAAGGGAATTGAAATCCCTCATGGTTTCAACTTTCCATCAAAAGAGGGAAAGTGAATTCCATTAAAGAATAGATGGAAATCAATTCCCTTGTCAGAGGGAATTGAAATTTGACCATACAACTCTCATCAATCTTTTGGTAACTTATTCATATATTGAATAAAAGTATTTTTTTTTTATTTCGGGTCGGGACGGGTTTCTAATTTATATATTCGGGTCGGGTGAAACTTTATTTTGGTTAGGTCGGGTTGGTTTTTTTAAGTGTGATATTCGGGTCGGATCGAGTTCGGGTTTAGGGTGAAAAATATCCAACTCGAAAATATATATAATTTTATCTTATATATTTAGGAATAATTACAATAATACCCCTCTATATATAATTTTTTTCAATTAAGTCACTACTTTTATTGAATAAAAATAATTTTTTTATTATTTCGGGTCGGGTCGGGTCATATTTTTAATTAATATATTGGGGTCGGGTGAAACTTTATTTTGTTCGGGTCGGGTCGGGTTTTTTAAGTGTGATATTCGGGTCAAGTCGGGTCGGATTTTTTTAAGTGTGATATTCGGGTCGGGTCGGATTCGAGTTTAGGGTGAAAAAATCGGATCGACCTGAAAAAAAATATACTTTTACCTTATATATTTAGGAATAATTACAATAATACCCCGCTATATATAATTTTTTTCAATTAAGTCAATGTTTTTATTGAATAAAAATAATATTTTTATTATTTATTATCGTGTCGGGTCGGGTTTCTAATTCATATATTGAATAAAAATAATTTATGGTAACTAATTAACATACTCTGATTGGAATATATCAAAATATTGCTCTATCTTTTGGTAACTTATTAACATATTTTGATTGCGATGATTTTAAGTTATAATGTTTATTAGCATGATTTTTATAATTTATTGAAATGAATAATCAATCAATAAATTAAAATTTTAATATTTTAATATTTTTTATAATATATTACTACATATAAATTGTAAAACAAACTAAAATAAATTAAAAAAATAAGAAGGGCAATTCTATAATTTTACATTGTTGAAATTAAATTCATCTGACATGTCTGCGAACCAAACAGAATATGGAATTGGATTCCAATTCCTGACAGATTCTAATTCCTTCATAAATTCTAATTCTATCATAAACATTCCAACGAACCAAACGTCACCTTATTTAATTCCCAGTCCCCCTCCAGTTAGAAAACCCTAAACCCTAACCCGCCACTCTCCTACCTTCGAATTGGCTCGTTTTTGTTATCGTTTATAGTTTATTCTCTGTTTCCCTCAATTTTTTTTTTTAAATTTAAAGTGCTGATTGTTTGCATTCAGCTTGTGCAAAGCATGGATTCTGAAGTAAACGCTTATAGACCTCCTCCAGAATTCGAAGAATATTCTACTCAACAACTCGTCGATCTTACACTAACGGAGTCTACGGAGATTTTCCTTTTTCAGTGGCAGGTTCATCAAGTACTCATTTCATAGCTTTCAGTTCCTTTATGTTTTGCTTGTTCTCTCTAAATCTTTTTACTATTTTGAGCTTAATTTAGCAATTGCAATGTTTGCATTTTGTTATGCCTATGGTTGTTGTATCATCATGAAATTAATGGCCAAGTAGTTACTCTTCAGCTCGATTCTGATGGAAAATTAGGCAGTTTTACAGATTCAAATGGTATTTTATCTTATATGGATCTCACTTAGTTTTCTCAAGGCTGTATACATGTTTTATTTTTTATCATTTTTCAGTTTAATTTTACATTGATGTTTTGATATTAGAAAACTAGTTCTGATTTGTTTACTATTTGCTTGAATTTGGCAGGAAAAGCTTATGATCTTGTTAGCAGTGCATCTAAACAGCCTGATGCAACAGTCATTTTTTTTTTTGCTTTAGTGCATCGTTCACTTCTCACTTTTTTTAGTTTGAAAATGAATCGTAAAGTGGATATATACTGTCAGCTAAAAAATGTCTTTAGAAATTAATGATTGAAAGGTTGGATGGACCTCCGAAGAAATTATGTTTGTTTCTATTTCTCAATCATAATTGGGTAATTAGTGTTCTTTTATGTTTCTATCTCGTCTAGACACTTGAAGTCGGTTTGTTTGTCCTTTGAATCCGACATTTGGATTAGATTTCTGGACACTGATAAAACCACTTTGGCATTCATGTATGTTTGTTAGGATTGATCAAATTTCCTTCTATTGTATTCACTCGATTTTAAGAGGCTGATGATATATTGAAATGGTTTGATGTAACTAGACGCATTGTTTTGAGAGAGGTTGAGACTTGAGTTCGGTTTGTTTGTTCTTTGAATCCGACACTCAGTTTAGATTTCTGGACTCTGATGGAACCGCTTTGGCATTCATGTATGTTTGTTAGGATTGATCAGATTTCCGCCTATTGTTAGCTATCAAACTGGCTTTTTAACATCTTCAGACATTGTTGCACATCTAAGTGATTGTATTCACTATATTTTACGAGGCTGGTAATATATTCAGATGGTTTGATGTAACTAGAGACATTGTTTTGAGAATGGTTGACATTGTAGATATCATGTATAGATCTAGCATATGGTTGTATTACATTTATTCTTCGCTATTTGTCACTGATCCTTTGCTCGATTTCACCAAATAAACCTCTACCACGTAGATCTGTTTATTTATTGTGATGTTATTTTTCTATGTTATAGAAATTTTTAGGAATTCGGTCGGGCACAATTCGATATTCATCACTCATGGTGATGATGTTTTGGCAACTGTGTGGTTACTTGGTTGTGATTGTGGGGATTATCTGACCAAACTGTTTGAATTCAGTTCTATATTGCAAATAAATTTGTGCATTTCCCTGATACTGATTTCTTTCTTGATAGTTGGGAAGATTTCACGACGAGTTTCCCTTGTACATTAGACGACTCCCGAAGAATATGAAATGCTCAGTTCTGAGAAGAAACTGATACATCAAAGATCCTCTGGAATGTCTGATTCTAACCCTTTGTAACTCCGATGCAAAGTAAAGGGCGGAAAAGTTCACTGTTGTTGGGGCGTACTGTCAGCACGCACGGTAGTCGGTAAAAGAGTACTTTATCTGGAATGAATGAACTATCTAAGCCTTCGAAAAGAAAGCACGATCGGAATCTATAGGATGAACCAACCGACACAGAGCCACGAGACGACTCTGGTTTCAGGGTCTTCGAAGCATAGAAATGCCCAGGAATCAACTGGGTCCTTGGATCAGTCTCATAAAGGTAAATCAAGGAAGAAAGTAAAAAATGAGGAATAATGTGTCGTCTCTTTCCCAGATAAATTGAGAGGTGTTTTTTTAGTCTAATATGATACTTGAAGTTGTCGTTTATATTCATACATTAGTTTGATAATTTCTTTTTGTATAACAATTTAGTATCTAATTTATTGAACGATTGATCCATATACGAATGCTGTAGAAATCTATTATGAATGTGATCAATTTAATTTAACTTATTTTAATTATAAAATTAAAAAGGGTAAACTATATGAATAGTTTCTTTAGTTTAGGGTCTGACCGACTTTGATCACCAATTTAAAAGCGAAATCAAGCCACATCTGGCATGCCAAAGCAAGGTAAGCTATCTATTTCCCAAAGCCTACTGAGCCAAAGCTTCATGCCCGACCGTAAGACACCTGAGCAAGAGCTGACTGTCTCGCTTTTGCAAGGATTAGTGAAGCAAAGACTAGCAGCAGATCTGGAACATCGGATCTTTTTTCACTCTGACTACGTAACCTGTACTGTGCCTATGAACTCGTCCTACGCTAAGGAAAAAGCGGGATCTCCGACCTATATCAAATAGGGCAATTGGTAATGCTCTCTTCCTTCTCGCGGAAAACTCCATAGAGGATGTCACTCTTTTGATTCGATTCATACAGCATATATGGGAGTTAGGCTATCTATTGGATAGTGGTAAGGGGAAAATTGGGAGAGGGCAAGAAGGAAAGCAAATTCAGAGCAAGCAGGGGACTAACCACGGGTCCAAAGCCGTGGGTTGAATGAATTGCCACCATGGAATAGCAGCACAAAAGGAAGCGGTCCAGATCTCGTCTCTGGAGATCCTGCTAGGGGGGAAAAAGATGCTTTTTGGGGTTGGGTTAGCCCCCCTTGTTCCAGGTCCCAGTGAAGCTGATCTGCCCGTGTTGACAGCACCAGCCATCTCGTATGACCCACTATAATCCGAGTTCCTAGAGTAGCCTTCCCTACTCCTTCAAAGCTCATATTGATGTGATTTGAAGAGGAAATTGCCACAAGATTGAGATTAGATATATTTGAATTTCAATAAAAAAAAAGAGTAATTTGAATTTCAATAAAAAAAAAAGAGTAATGCAATACGTTATCGATCTGTTTAATTTTAGTCTTTAATTTTATCAATTTGTTCGATTTTAATCTCTAACATTATTGATCTGTTCGATTTTAGTTCATCAATCATTAACTCATGTTCGATTTTAGTCTCTCAGTTATGTTAGGGGTTTAAAGAAAAAGGACTTAAATAAAAGGGAGTTAACGAAAATTAATAGTAGATAGACATAAATATGGTGGACCGATAATGTGAGTGACTATTTACCTTTAATTTTTAAATTGATGATTAAAGTTGATTAGACCCTAAATAAAAAGTAATATTCGCATAATTTGCCTACTTAAAAATTAAATCATGAATGTTGTTTAAAGGATAATCATAACGAAGATATCATGTTGTCCTATTCTAAAGTAGCTGGATCTAAAAATTGTGTCAAGTTTAGATGCCAAAAGTTGAATTAAAAAATATAGATACCGAATTAGAAAATGATAAAATGAAATATTAAAGCCAAATTTATAGAGATGTCAATGTGACGCATGTTAAGCCAACATAAATATTCCTTGGGGCCATAAAATTTAATTAGGTACAATACAAGTGATAAATGATTAAAATAATTTTCTAAAATGGTAAATAATGTTGTAATTTAGTTGAAAAAATAAAATATTTTTAAATAGTAAATAATATTATTATAAAATATTTTATTTTTATATATATTTAAATAAAATATTATAAAGTTGTTATTGATATATTTCAAGGTAATATATTTCAATTTTGGTGTTATGAATGAAATAAGTTAGTTTAAAAAAATCAATCTCAAAATAAATTTCTGCAGTACTTCACTTAGATCAATCAATCAATAAATTAGATATAAGTTGTTAACTGAAGAAAATCTAAATAACAATTCTAATGGTTTTCAAATTATAAATTCAAATAAAATAATTATTAAAATTTTATAAATAATTATTAAAATTTATTAAATTATTATAAAATATTTATTAAATTTTATATTTATTATAATATTAAAATAATTCTTTTGTAATAAGTTAATAAATAATTCAGTTAAATAAAACCGTTATGGTTCGGTTGGCAAAGCTATGCGAGAAAGAATATGATACTTATATAAGTAGCATAAATCATAGGACGAGTCTATCACAACACATCACTAAAGCACATATTAAAATACAAGTAAATTTATCTTTATTATGTAAATATTAAAAATATATAATTATTTATTTTAAATTAATCAATTATTAAATTTTAATTTTAATAAAATTATGATTTTTTTTATTAAAAATAATAATTAATTTAAATATTTTAATTTATTTTAGAATTAAAAAAATTAAGTTATATAAGTTTAGTGGTTAACCGGTCATTACCATAAGTCACTGCTGACGACAACTTGACTTTGTCGAGAAACGATTTACTACAACATCCAGTATTGTTAGAGACTTAAATCAAGAGATTTGGTGATGAGCAAGACTAATTCCCTCTTGATTTAAATTTTCGACAGCGTTAGATGTAATTAATTTAAATATAATTTAATAAAAATATAATTTAATTATAATTTTATTAAAACTAAAATTAAATTTTAATAAATAATTAATTTAAAATAAATCACTGTACTTTTTAATATTTACATAATAAAAAAATTATTTGTAATATGTTATAATATATAGGGGTGTTCATTCGGTTAAAACGGTGGCCGACCCAATCGAAATACCCTTAACTGAATTAATCGAACTTTTATTTTCTTTAACCGTTAACCGAATCGAACTTTTTTTAAAAAGTATTAACCGAACCGAATAAATTTTATTTAATTCGATTAATTTTCGAATTAACCAATTTTTTTTAGAATCTTAGAATTTAATATTTTTTAATTAAAAAAAACAATTTACAATTAATTAAAATAATATATAATTAATTTGATTCAAACCTTTTGTATTTAGTATTGAGATTATTTTAATTAATTAATATTGATTTGAGTTTTAAATAGATTGGGCCGACCAAGTCTTTTAATATAATTATATTTAAATATTAATTTAGTTAATTATGTTAATTAATCGATTTCGAACCAAATTAACCGTTAACTGAATTCTAAAAAATTCCTTAACCGTTTTTTTGATCGAACTAATTCGATAACCGATCGAATTAATTAAACTAATTCAATTCGATCGATTAATTTAAAACCAAATTTTAAACACCCCTAATAATATATCATTTTACAACACGATGCAATGTGCGACTTAGAATTTTACATAAATCATATATATAGAATATAATTGTAAAACTTTTTAGATGAGCATTGATCAGAGAGCTAACCCCTTTTGCCAGCATTTAATAATGCCTTCTTCAACTACTCTTCTCCGTCTTCTGTCTGCGTTTTTTTTTTCTTTGGATAAATTCTCTCATCGTTTTCAGTGTGTGGTTTTCGTTCAAATATTGTGTCGTAGAGATAGAGAATTCCAGCTCCGATGGATAAAGAGAAGAAAGCAAAGGAAACTGAAGAGAATCACCACCAACAAGAAATGGAATTCAAGGACTGAAAACGAAGACCAAGCAGCCCAAGGCCAAGAGGAAGAACCAACCGGCGACGAGATTGAACGAAGCAAAATCGGCATCATGAGAGCTCTTGCCTAGAGAGAAGATCCATCTGTTAAGGTAACCTTTTGACTTTGGGGTTTCCTTTTTAAGTACCCAATTGATGATTTTCACTTGATTTTTTTTTTATTTCGAAAAAGGACGCTGATGATTTCATGATCCGGAGATTCCTTCGAGCTCGTGATTTAGATATAGAGAAAGTTTTGTATGCAAAGGATTCATATCCGAGTCGGAGTTTTCAACTCAGTTAGCCGATGAGAAGCTTTGTATGCAAGGGGTTGATCGACAGGGTCGAGCTATTGTTGTTGCCTTAGGGGGTCGGCATAAGCCCACCAAAGGAAATCTCGAGGAGGTCAAACGTATGTTTTGTTCAATTGCCGAACATATTCCCAATGATTTTGCAGCTTTAATTTCAGTCTGTTTCTTGCCATTTATATCTTGAATGTACAGATCTTTGGACTTACCTTCTCCTAAATGTCCTGCTATGGCTTACCTTATTGCAGGTTTTGTTGTCTATGGTTAAGAGAAAATTCGTGCCAGGAAAATAGCTTTTCATCTACTTTAGCTGTGAGTTTCAGATTTTCGGTATGTTTGATTTCGTTTAAAAATGATTTTCTTCCATGGATGTGGAATCTTGTTCTCGTAGGAACTCATGTTCAAATATATTCGGGCACAAGAGTTTGTGACAGTTTTTGTGTGTGCATTAGGTGAGTTTCGGATAGGAGTATGTTCAATTTCGTTTAAAAATGATTTTCTTCCATGGATGTGTGATCTTGTTCTCGTAGGAACTCATGTTCAAATATTTATTGGCCATGAATTTTGGGCACAAGAGTTTGAGTGACAAAGAGCATAAGTGTGTGCATTAGGTGTGAGTTTCGGATAGGAGTATGCTCATGTTTAGATATGCATCGAACATGATTATCGAGCAGAAGAGTTCGAGTAATGTATAGCACAAGTGTATACTCTAGGTGTGAGTTTCAGCTAGGGATATGTTTTTATGTGTTTTAGAATGCCAAAAGGACAAGAGAAGTTTGTTGCAATTGGTGATCTTGAAGGATGGGGATACTCGAACAGCGATATCCGTGCATACGTCGCATCTCTATCGATTCTCCAGGTTTCATCTTCAACCATCTAAGGTTCATGAATGATCAAAACATTGAAATCTGAGTAATATAGGTACTTATAGCAATCATTCAACTGTTGTGATTACAAGATTGCTATCCAGAGAGGCTTGCCAAGTTGATTATTGTTCATGTTCCCGTCATATTCATGACTGCCTGGAAGGTTGTTTACCCATTCATTGACAGCAGAACCAAGAAGAAGGTAAAGCACTAGCTATGCCACTTGAACTTATGTTGCTCCGACTTTTGATTTTTCTTGAAGTACTCGTGTTTTGAACGCCATACCCGACGGTTAATTGTACATGGATATAGGGTATAGAAATCTTCCAATGACCCGCAATTACTGCCATGCATGCATACTTAAAAACATGAAATTTTGCAATACTGGTGCATGATGAGGGTCTTAATTTAGATGTTCTTGAAAACTACTTTGCTCAATATTTCGTCCTTGATGCTCTAGACTCTATGAACCTTCAGCAGGCTCGAGACATCAACATAACGCTCTGAGAACACAATAGCTAATGTTGATGTTTCGGTTCTATGACAAACGATATTTTACAGACTTATTGGGATCAAAGCCGCTCGTCAACATCCTTTCTTTTTGCGGATAGTTTTTGTTGAGAACAAGAAGCTGAAATCCACTTTGCTTAAGGACATTGATGAAAGCCAACTTCCAGATATATATGGAGGTAAACTGCCATTAGTTCCCATCCAGGAATGCTAACTTGACCCCCAAATATCCTTTTTTGCTTGCACTACAAGGCAGGGCTAGGGAACTAGACAAAGAGGAGAGTATATAGACAATATGCATACTCTTGAATATTTATGCAGTTGAAATTAATATAAAAATTCTATCCTATTATTTATCTTTGTTTTCATGTATAATCAATTTAGTGCATACCGGTACCTTTCTTGTATGATCAACATAGTCATACCGTACCGGTATTGGTCAGTATGTATCAATTTATATTGGTTCATATTGAATGTATTAGTTTACTACCCATACATGATAACTACGGTAAAATTAGAAGAAAAACAAAAGCATTTGGAAAACTAAATGATACATTAAAACTGAAAATGCTCAAGAAATCTTGTTTTTATTATCATGACCCAATGCTCATCTTAAAGCAAACGGCATATACAAAATCCAGAATAACTGAATTAATCGAATGTGCAATCCTCTTGTGCAGTGAAAAATTCTATTTTGACAATTTTGCTGCCAACTTTTGTTCCACAAAAAAACAATAAACACTCACCCGATTAGCAACTTGTTCTCGTCCAACAAGCTGTATGTGGGTACCTCTAGATTGTACGGTGCCGGCTCCTTGCGGATCCTACCAGAAACATCATAATGTGAGCCATGGCACGGACAGAACCAGCCACCATAGTCGCCAGCATTTGGCAGGGGAATGCACCCCAAGTGGGTGCAAACACCGACCACGACAAGTCATTCCGGATTCTTAACCCTGACTGCATCCTCCTGTGGGTCACGAAGAGATGCAACGTCAATGCTGTTAGTTGTCTTGATATCCTCTTCGGTTCTACTGTCTGACAGAGACAGGATTCCCTCTCCACTTGACCTCGAGGGAAGCGAGGGCAAGGACATCTTTGCTGGCAGACATGCTCAAAACAAACTTAAGGACCAGAAGACGGATTAAAGAGGCATAAACAAACCTGCCACCGGTCAAGACGAAATAGGGGAAAGCACGCTTGCTGGGGTCACTGGGTGGAAACTGCTCATGATTATACTCGTCGTAAACGATCTTCTAAGTAGGGTTCTTCACTTCTGCCACCGTAGCAGAGAGATCTGAGATCATTCCCAGATCATGTCCTCGGCATCCGAAGATAAACCTGGAAAAAGGTAAAACAACCATCAAATGCTATTACAAAAACACATTAATTACTTACAATAGATATATTTAACTTACTCATAATAAAGATCTAATTTCGCCAACATCTAAATCTACCAAATGCAAGCAGTGCATATCATTATTACATTTAATAATAAATAAACAAATACGCAAAATACAAAATCCAGGTTATTGATTCTATATTATTTAACTTCACATCAATTGGAAAAATAACAGAATCCAGCAAATGATAAAAGAAACTATCTCATCGATAATAATAATAGAGTAATAATGAAGAAGAAATCAAGCAGTAACCTATAAATTACGAAAGGAAAACAATAAAACGGAGAAAACTTGACCTCTGATTAGATTCGGAAGTTGCGACTTGAAGGAGAAAAGAGAGACACGGATCCGATCTGGAAATGGAAGGCGATTCAGAAGAGGCGGCGGAGGAAGATCGCCATCGAAGAGATGAGAACTTTCTCCCTGCAACTCTTAGCATCTTTGGACCTACTGCTTAGGTTTCGATCTCTTTTGAAATTTTAATGCTTTTCAAGCGGAAATGAAACGACATGTCGTTTTCTTCTATTGTTTTGACTGTTCGAAAGCTACGTGTCGGTTTCGGAGCTAAATAACGAGCTTAAGAGATTAAGGAATCGCTTGTTTACTGCTGAATAGAATCATTCAGCGTTGAATGCTACTCATCTCTGTTGGAGCTGAATAACGAGCTTAAGAGATTAAGGAATCGCTTGTTTACTGTTGAATAGAACCATTCAGCGCTGAATGTTGTTCAGCGCTGAATGTTGTTCAGCGCTGAATGAAGATTATGTTGAATGAAACAATAAAACACTACTGAATGATTCAACATTAAAGTACATTATGAATCATTAAGCACTCGGTATTTTACCATAATACCTATTTTTTCATATGTTATGTTATTAAACAATCATATTTTATAATATAATAAATCATTATGAAGGTAAAAATGAAAATATTCATAATTCATATTGTACAAAACTATTATCAAACAACATGTCACATTCAGAGTCAATTCATATAGAACCATTGAATCATTCAGACTATTGAATCATTCAGCGCTTAATTATTTTATTCAAACAACCCCTAAGTCATTGAGGTGGCGGGGCCGAGCTGCAAGTCCTAGAATTTTTCTTGCCAAATGTGTAGGGAGCATTTCATGATAATTCCTTTTTGCTAATAGCCCCTATAAATTAATTACACTTAAATTCATTGTGACTCGAATTTTTCAAATCTAAGACAAATCAGTTTCTTGAGAACTGCAACAACAGCTCGAAGTTGCTTCTCGATTGACGATTTCTATAACTTCAAGTTGTTGAAGACCGTTATAGTAATACTAACTTCAAATATCGAGGCCTTAACCGCCGTTATCGTCGATTACTTCTCGACCAGAACTAAGTGTAACGATCCCTTAAATCTAACAATCGGTGACATGTGTCGGTATTTCATTAGAAAACATTGTTGACTAATGTGTAAATTTTCATAGTTGTTGGATCAAAACAGAAAATAACCCGAAATCGGCTATTGTCCTTGCAATTTACAATGGTATATCATTTACAACAAGGTTCTCTCATGCTATGCATAACTGATATGGATTCCCAAGGAACAAGGTCTTGAAACCCCAAAATTCCACTGATAACAGACCATAAGAAACAAGATCTCGAAACCTCGAAACCAGATTCTACCGGAACCGGCCATGGTCGTAGTACACTAACGAAACTACCTAGCTAAAAAATCCTCCCCCATTTTCACTAGCATACACCCTACTGATGTTGTTCTTAGCTATCATATAGTAATTTCTGCTTCTCAAGTTTCTCGATCAAGGCCCTCTTTCATCTCGAGTAGAGCATCGAACACAAACACGGATTTGTCATCGATATCATCCTTGAAAACCGAACGCAAAAGCATTATAACAATGAAATTGTTTAGTTTAATGGCCTAGAGATGTTCAAACATCATTATCATCATCATTATTAAGGTACCAACAGTTTGATGATCATCATGCAATTCGAGACCTGAAGAAAGAAGTAAAAAGTATCGAATTGCGGGATCAAAGAACACCAGGTGACCAAGAAGAAGCATAGGTACAATGAATGTATGAATACCAGCTTCCAACTTTCCATAGCAGAGGCCTGTTTGCAGATTAAAACTAATCATAAGTAAAACGCTGACTAAATATCAAATTTGAAAATAATAAAAGGACCAAAACAACAATTTAGCCAATTCAAAAGACAATGCTATTTGACAATCAAAGGCACATATGAAGTTAGAACATACAGTTCCTAATTCTATATACAGTTCCAAAACTGGATTGGAGAGCTGTCCTTGTAATATTAAGAGTTTACAAAACTTGATTCGAACTAGTAGATTAATAAGTTCGATAGGACTGGCAATTACCCATAGATGGTGGCCCACCCGATTCAATTAAATGGACGAAAACCCAATGAAGCATGGGTTTATTTCATTTGAAGTGGGTGATAGATTCGGGTGAAATTTTTTCAACTCACCATTCGATCCGTCACCCGCCTTATCCATCAATTAATATAATATTAATTTTAAAATATTATTTTAGACTCTTGTTTCGATTATGCACAAGCATGTGCTACTATCTTAGAGGATAATGATGTAGAAGAGGATGGATGTTCATCAAGTGAAGTTGTTGACGTTAATATTCTTCTCTTAATTTTTTTTCTTCAAAAATTATGTCGTAATATTTTATTTTCTCATTTATGACAAGATGGAGAAGACCTTTGAAGGTGATTATGTGAAGAGCTAATGACAATAGCTTTATGGTAAGATGAAATAAAGAGGCTGAGGCTAATGCTTGCTGACTTATGTTTTACGTAACTCTGTTATATGTCAGAGTACCGAAAATTTAAAACTTTAATAATAGTTAATTTAATGTATTAAATATTAAATATTTTTTAGTAAGATGTTACATGTATTTTTAATTCTGATTTTCTAGTAATAGAACTCATTTATAACCCGACCTACCTACCTCATCCGCAATTGATAGGTAGGACGAATTTGGGTCAATGATCAAGCGGGTGGTGAGTGGGTTGGATGCGGATGTTGGGGTGGGTGGAACTCTAATCCACCCAAATCCAACCTGTTGCCGGTCCTAAAGTTCGATGCAAATGGTTATACCAAAAATATATTCATACAAATAATGATAAAATTTTCAACCAGATTTCATTTCCATGACAGAAAGAGAACATTAATCAACCAGGAAAAGTACACACATACGGAAAGTCAAAAGAATTTCAATAATTTTAAGGCCCTGTCTCAGCAATTGCAGATGGGGCTAAATGCTTGATAATGTAATAGAAAATGTCAATAAATATTCGATTTATTAATAATTAATTGAGAAATATTACATCCCATTACTCTTATGTTACTTCCTTGTCAGCCAAAATTTTGAAGCTTTCCCCTCTCTTTTTCCTTATCTGTCCTAGATTTCAAGTGAGACTGAAGAAAAATACGTAGAATTACTTGAAGTTTCAGCAGTAGAAAGATCTCGGATGGGTGCGATTTTTCGAAAAGGTTAGCTCCGGCCGAAAGAAACCGGCTTTTGCTAGCATGATCCCTTCGAAGAACAAGTATCTTCGCTTTCTGAACTCGGAGGGCTTTCTTGATTATTCTCCTCATGGTTAGCTGAACGAGCTTTTCCGGGCCTCGTTCGAACGATAACTCCCACCGGAAATGGAACCTGCAATGCAAGTTTCCATTCTTAAGACTACATTGTGATGCAAAATGAAAAACGAATAGTCGAAGCACCATAGTTCTTTCTATGTCACTGCAGCCAACTTTGGTACCTGATCGCCTGCATTGGGACCGTCGGTGTTGAAGAGTATAGGCCGACATCTCTTATCCTCGTTCATCAAGGTCGAGTTCCGAAAATGTGCGGTAAGGGCTGCTTTTCCTTGTATCCGAGCATAAGCAAGCGATGCCACCTTCTCGCTGTTGAACTTCTCCCATTTCTTCCCATTGAATGCCTGGGACAGTTTAATTTCTTCCAGCTTTTAGCATGCCATGTTTTCCAACATACCCCAATAACTCGGGAATTTCGAATATCGAACCTGATAAAATGTAATGACTTGGCTAGGCTCAAGCATGTTGATGAATGCATATCCCACATTGCACTTGTTCTGCAACAAAATGTGATTAAAATAAATAGATATGTGCTTTGAACTCTATATCTAGTATTTTCTGAAATGATAAAAAGAAAACTCTGCACAATTGGAAACTTGCCTTGAAATCAATCGGCAAATAAATGAAATCATATGTTCCTCCACCGCGTTCGTCGATAGCAGCCAAAAGCATCTTTGAGGTGTACCTGCAGTTAAGATAGACGGTCAGGATTCTTCCACTTGAAATAAGGAATTGGGATGCTGATGACGGACCGAGTTCGTTCTTTATCGGTCAATACCAAAGACCACAATCAGGAAGGACATACTTGTTAGGAATGTTCTTCAACATGAGCGTTGTTCGCTTGTCTTCCCCTCGTATTATACGTTCCATGTCAAGTTCATATTGCTTCTTGTCAGCCTGGTTAATACTTACTTCATTCCTCCGGCTTCTAACATGTTCACGAGGATAATCAACTGATCTCGTAATCGGAATGCTCTGCCCTCTCCCATTATACAGCGAGGACCTCGAGTGAAACAACAGTGGTCCTAGATTTTTCCAACACAATGAAAGTTTGTTATAATGAGAAATAAACTATAGACTACGGAAAATTGTTGGAACCTCTCATACTGCCAAGAGAAGCCAGATGAAAACCATTATAGGAAATTAACCTCCATAAGTATGTTGTCGGTCCCAGAGTGACGGGTTAACAGTTGGTGCCGATCCAACATGGTAGTTAATTATGGGCACACCGGGGTTCAGCGTATGTGTCGTCGGAAGTCCGTGAAGCTGTGCTGTGGGATGAGCAGCATAAATTCCGTTAACAATGGGAGGTGAGTTAGGCCACATCGTACTCGGAGGCTCGGGATTATAAGAGTTACTCCACGGATAATGATGTCGGGGAAGAAGATGTCTTCCGTTTCTAGCAGATCGAAAACCTGAGAAACTCGGCACGAACCAACCAACTCATATAAACAGAAAACTCGGTTTATATTCAAGAAGTTAAAAAGAAAAAACCACTAAACTGCACCTTTTAATTGGCCATCCTTACCAGCATTACTGAATTCAAATAAGCGCCCGGTTGAGCTAATTCTGGAAAGTGTCTTATTATCAATTACTTGCAGTGGTTTGGAATTGATGTTTACAGCTCTACTTGAACCATTTTGATACTTGGGCATCGGACGAGGATAAAATGCCGGTTCGCCTTGGACATCAAGTTTCATTTGCAAGTGACCTGACTCGGTCGTGACGGATTGATGCCCTATTGATCCCATTCTAACCATGGATTTTAAACCATTAGAAACACCAGAAGAGACACAGTGAGGAATTGTTGGTTCCGGAAAAGGGGCTTTTATATCAGAGTTCAACCCCGAACTAGTTCCAACATCCATGTTATTTGACGAGTTTGGCCCGACTGCAGTCATTGAAATTCAACGGATCAGAACATAGATAAGAAGTTTACTGTTGAATCGAGATTACTATAGTTCGGAACAACAATCATACCAGCCAAATTTGCATCATTAGAGGGACTATGTGGATGCTCAACAGTACGACCATCATCTCCTAAATCCATCCCTCCAACACTGCTAAAAACATCCAACTCTTCTGCATCCTCTGCACCATTTGGTCGGACAACAAAATCGAGTCCTTCGGTCACACATGAAAACAATTCATCATCGTCGGGAAGAAGGTTTCCGATGGTTTGGGCCTCAAGTTCTTCAAGAGATTCAAATGGTTCCTCTTCCTCATAGTGCGAAGAGGAAACCGTATCGATTGAATTTCCATATAGTGCATTATCTGAAGATAATTTCACTGCAAGAAGGATGAACACAAAGGCTTAATAGACCGTTCAATACATAAACAACAGTGAGAAGGAGAAATGCTTACGCTTCCTAGTGAAGAACTCCGTAAACGAGCTGGAGAAAAGACTGTTCTCAAACTGAGAAGTCAAGGTGTTGACATTGTTTCCTTCCTCTCCGATGTAACTCAACTTCGTTCCCGGACCTTGGTTAATAGGTTTTGACGAGTTTACTGTTTGATTCAGAACTCTCTCTGCTCCTGCTATACCGCTATCTACAGATAGATTCACTTTCTGGTGTTTCTTGGTGAAAGGCTCAGCATTGTCCAGGTACCTTATTATCCGACTTTCCACCGGAATAATTTCCTCCACGGTTGATGAAGTAACCGATTTCTTGCACGCTGCGGTGGAAAAAAGTAAGCCTTCGATTCTCGATAAAGACAAAAAAATATACTATAGCAACAAATCTTGAATCACAGACACATAATAAAATCCCAAGGCGCAACCAATTAATAAACATTCCGAGTGAGAGCAAAACAAATCATGGTTTCATCACTGATTTTCCATTTACTTTGCATGAAGCTCAATCATTCCATGCATAGATAGATCTTTGAGAATCCAATTTAAAAAATTCATGAAGCCTGTTCTTCCTAGATCGAAGATACTTCGAAGATTTTCTGATCTAACTGCACTTCATATGCATACTAATGATACATTGAATGATTACAGTTTCATGGAACATGATATTTTTAGAAAATAGATCACTTTCCCTCGAAAAACAACAGAACAAAACATAGTTCAATTCCCAATTGAAAATACTTTCCTGGAGGAACACACACACACGTATATATATACATATATGTATATGTATATTCGAAAATTTAGGGGTCTAACAGCATTTCATTGCACTTTATATGCATGGAATGATACATTGACTAGTTACATTTTCATGGAAAATGAAATTTTAGAAAACAAATCACTTTCCATGAAAAAGAAAAGATCAAAACATAGTTCAATTCCCAATTAAAACTACTTTCCTGCAAGAATATATATAATACTAAATATTCACTTCTGATACTAACCTCGCTGATCAAGCACGGTGTCCAGTTTCCAAAATCCAACCTGCCGCTGCGACAATCCAGAAAATTCAAACTTAGAACAGGGTGGCAATCAGAATTATTTAGAGGGAAAAGAAAAAGTAATTGGATACCGAGAAAATTAGTACCTCAGTAGGAAAACGCAAATCATCAGAGAAAATAGATGGTGAAGACAAACTCTGGAGGTCCATTGTTTCAGATGGCATGATGATTAAAACCAAGAAATTTTTTTCTTCAAATAAAGGCTAAATTTCACAAAACTATTCCCATCGCGAGAATGGTTTCCCTCCAAAAGAAGAAAAAGAAACTCTGCACGGCAAAAGATAACTTTATTCAACAAGGAAAACGATTGAAGGTATTTAAAGAAGAGAAGGGCATGGCCTGCAATTATTATGAAATATTCATCTACAAGAAAGAATCAAGAGTTAAAATCATGGCAATTATGAAGAAACAAAGGGAAATTAAAAATATGCATTTAATGTTAAGATTGCAACGGAAGGAGAAAGCATGTTTCATTCACCAACCCAAAAATATCAAAGAAACCACAACGCTAACAGCTCGGATAACTCATTAAAAGATCAAGCGAACAATGGAAAACAAAGATTTAAGCAAATCCTAGCTTGGAAGTTTTGAAAACGAACCAATTAGAGTTAAGGGTATTAAGTGAAAACAGAGACATCCAGAGCTAAGAAGATCTCGAAAGATCAAATGCTCAAGCCCAGAACCAAAAAAAATGAAGAAGAAGAAAATCAGCAAATTCGAGCTAGGAAGTCAATAACGAGACGATTAAAGGGTATTAAAATGAAAATTGAAAAAAACTACAGATGCCCAGAGCTAAGAAGATCATGAAAGATCAAATGCTCAATCGAAAACGAAAAAAAAAATTCGGCAAAGTGGAGCTAGGAATTCAATAACAAGGCGATCAGAGATTCAGAGTTAAGGGTACTAAAATGAGAACTGAAAAAACACACCTACCCAAAGCTAAGAAGACCACGAAAGGTCAAATGACCAAGCGAACAACGAAAAACAATTAGCTAAGTCGAGCTTGGACGTAAAAAACGATCCAACTGGAGCTGAAGGTATTGAAATAAAATTTGGAAGAGACAAAAAACAGAGAAACCCAGAGGCAAGAAGATCACGAGAGACCCAATGATCAACCGAACAGCAAGAAACAAAGGATTTTTAAGCGAAGTTATGAAGCAACAAAGGATGCTGCAATTAGAGAGGCGTGAATTTGGGAAGGAAAAGAATGGAGCAGAGGAATTTAAAAGCTGAATACGAGGGAAGAGGAAGACTTTGAAGATGAGAGAAACATCGAATAAATTATGGTGAAGGCAAGGTGAGGAAATTGAATGCAGAAATGATAATATTGGCATATGTGCCTTACAAGCACTGTTTTCATTGCTTTTCCCCTCCGTTGCACGTTAACCACACCACCACCCTCACCTCTTCCCCCTTTATATATATATATTTTCTTTATTTATCAATATTATCTCCATTGATATGATCTATCTTTGTTGTTCTTAGAGAATCGTCGTCTTCACAACTCAAACCTGCTCAAACCTTTGCCTCCACGTGATAACTTCTTCATTTCTTTTGGTTAAACTACCCTATTGATCACTAAACTATTACCGTTTTTCAATATTGGTCACTGAATATTTTTTTCTTTTAACCAAATTTAGAAAACGATAATAATTTTGCAATCATTTACATAAACTATAGTTATCAATTTGAATTCATCAAGTTGTATCAGTGATGAAAGAAAATATTGTTCTCTTTGAAGATTATAAGTTCGAGCATTTACGTATGTAGAATATTTGTATTATCAATTGATTAATAAAAATTATGAACATATATTATATTGTAATCACTCCAAAGTAATAAAAAAATAGTTTATATGTTTTTCTCTGTTATTTGAAATGATAATAAGTTTAGTCACGTGATGTTATAAAATAATTATTAAATTTGTTAAAACTCATTATATTATAATATTACAATGATCATTTTATAATAATTTGATAAATTTGATAATTTTTTTATAATTTTTAAAAGTTTTAATGATAAAATCAAATCTCAACGATTAGCTAAATAAAAAACGAGTTATTAATACTATGAAATGGAGTCGGTAAACCAATAACTCATAAATACCTTTTTCCAATTAACTTTATGGAATGATGGCATAATTTAATTTTAAATTTTATCTTCGAGTTTCAAGTAATTTCTAGGCGGTTTTTTTCCAATTTATTTTAATGTAAGATTTATTATGTATTTTATATCTATTTTATTTAATAAATTTTAAATTTAATCATAATATTATGTAAGCGGGAAAGGAACATTGACACTAGAGAAAGGGGTGTTTTTACAGAGTCTAGTACTAATAACCTAAAAAAGTATTAAGAAATAAAGATGAACAACACTTTAGCTCGAATAAACTTTTGATTCTCAATTAAGCCGACCCAAATAGATCCATCCTAGCAGTTTTATTTGAATCGAATTTGTTTGATTTGTTTGATTTTTTGTTTTTCTTATTGGTTCTAAGGCTTCGTTTTGATTGATTCGGATCGATCTGTGTCGCACACCTGACATTGATGGATGAATCTCCTAATATGAATTATCTACGTACATAAAATTTTAAACTCAAAATCTTATTCAAGCAAGTTTACCGCTTGAACTGATCCCTTTAATGTTTGAATAAATAATCATTTTGACTTTTATTCTTTTTTCTAGACCATTTTGACATCCAAAATTTCATTCTAGAATAAAAAGACACTTACTTTTTAGAGTTAATCATTTATTAACTATTAATCAAATAATAATAATAATTTTTTAACTAAAGATTTTCATTCACGGAGTTTGTTGTCCCAAATAAGACGTCAAGTCCAAAATACTCCAAGAAATTAGGAACTAAAATGATAATCTTAATAAATGTTAGGGAACTAATCTTTTTTTTTTTTTGTATAACCACTGATATTTGATCTATTGCTTGATTAATTTGGATCGGGTACTGCAGGGGTAAGGGCAACCCTCCCAACCCAATTTACTCCATTCGCAAACACCAAAATTTGAATAGCTAGTCTTATTTAAGGGATCTAGTGTCTCATCCCACTGGACTAACTAATAATTTTAACATTATATTTTTATTATTTTAAATTGAACCAATCAGAAAATTGACCTACATCATATGAAAGGGTAAATTAAGCAAAACTCAAAACGACACCGTAAATGATAAAAAAAAAAAGCAATCACATCATCATAAGTTGGCTTTAGGCCCATAAATGGTTGGTCCAACATATAAATAATAACTGACGATGCAGAGTTATTTGCAAAGCCCAAAATGAATAGTGGATCGTTTGAACACTTGAATTTATATATATATATATATAGATTTTTCATGTTATCTAAAGGGTGGTCCAAAAAGTGGAACACTATATATGCTATTTATGGTCATGCGTGATACTCTATACAAAACTTGTAGGAGGTGTATTGGTAGAGACGAAGTCGAAATCAAATATATTATGATATATATGAGGTTTAAGGGTCATTTTTGTTCTTGTTGTAAATTCAATTTATTATTTTTGCTCCTATCGTATTTTCGTATCAATTTAGCCTTCGAAATTGTTCAATTACATTATTTTTGCTCCTTCTTGCTTTCGGACGTAACTTCCTAGCCTTTCAAATTTTAAATGTAAACAAAATGTGGTGACCTTGAATTGCATATAGAGAAGTGAAAAACAATCAACCAAATTGGCAAGTGTTTAATTTTGTCACGTTTGATTTACTTCCTAAAATTATAAATACCTTGCCATGTGAACAACCACAAGTCTTTTGTAAATATTCAACGAGATTATAGATTCTTTTTTAGTTATAAAATTCGAATCTCACCTTATCAAATTATGCGTGAATTATATCTAGGGATGTTTAATGAGTTGAGCAGTTTGTGAGTCACTCAAACTCGACTCAGTCAAAACTCAAGTAATACTCGATTTGGGTTAACTCGACTCGAAATATTACCGAGTTGAGTTGAGCAAGGTCCAACTCGATTCGATAAGTTTGTGAACAACTCTTTAATTTTCAAATCTATTAATCTTCTAATAAACAATAAAAAATATTAAATTTTCAATTAATAATAATTAATTTACTGCACTAAAAATAAAACTCTAATTATCCTACCTAAAAATTATTCTGAGCTTAACGAGCAATAAGTCGAGAAATTTTTTTAAACGAGCATCAGTCGAGTAAAATTTTAACTAGTTTAACGAGCAACAATATTTTTTAACGAGCATGAGTTGAACATTACCCAACTCATGATCGACTCGCTTGGTAATCACCTCTAATTCGATCTAAATTATGTTTATCTTGCACATTTTGTCTTGTAAAAAAATCACTATAATCGAGATTGTAACAATATTTTTTAACGAGCATGAGTTGAACATTACCCAACTCATGATCGACTCGCTTGGTAATCACCTCTAATTCAATCTAAATTATGTTTATCTTGCACATTTTGTCTTGTAAAAAAATCACTATAATCGAGATTGTCTTTATATGTTTGATTATACTTGTATTGTTTAAAAAAAAAAAATTCACGTATTATAGAAAATTAATCTAAAAAATCAACATGGGTCGGTTCAAGGAATAAGCAATTTGATATCGCTTAAGTAAGGTCTCGAGTTGGAGTCCATGTGTATGCAGAAAATTCCTGTTAGGAGACTCACCCACCAAAGGCAAGTGTACTACGTGGATCGGTCCGAAGAAATCAATGCGAAATCTTGAAGCATGAAAAGCTTAAAAATAATCTAAAAAGAATCAACATTATTAGAATTAGATCCGTCTATAAATCAATAAGAAATAATCTGTCCTTATCTTGTAAGAGCACCCAAATTTTGGGCCAAATTGGTTCCCACCTCAATTTGTATGACATTCACATATAGAATGTGACATGGTACTAACCCCTCTAATCTAATCTAAAGTCACCCTCCCTAATGGTCATGGACATGAGCTTCCAAAATCCTTGTTTGTTTGTAATCCTCTCCTTTTTATCACTTTTTAAAAAGCTTTTTATAAATAAAAATGAATGAATACAATAAATATAAAATTTATATCTAATCGGATAATAGTTATGTCTCTAATTAAAATATTTCCTCAACTGAATTCGTATCTAAAAACATATGATAAAATAATATTCTGAAAATCAATTACATAATTTTTAAATAACAATTCAGTTGAGACGTACTTGTAATTCTCGAATCTTATCTGATCACCATTTATAAATAAAAACTTAATAAACAATATCTCACTCAAATTGATTGTCATCTTATTCAACAAGGATCAATATATTATATATTTAACTTCTTTTTTCCCACAAACACCAACCAACATAATAAGGGGAAATTAAAACAAAAGTGGCTTTAATGGAGGGGGCCGTCAATTAAGATTAGCCATTAAGTGAGGAAGATTGGGGTGAAATTATTCAAGAGCCGACAAAAAGAAAAGGTGAGCCCATAGCATTTTATTTATTTGGTGCATGGTTGGACACAATAGAGTGCCCTTGTCATTCAAATTAAAAATAATATAATATATATATATATATATGACAAAATAAATTTGTTACTAAATAAATAGAAAATAATTGATAAAAACTATATTTAATTTAAAAGATTTAAAAGACTTTCTTGAGCCCTGAACTAATTTATTTTAGTGATCAAAGAAACCGTTGGTATTCTCAGTTAGAACACTAACGATTGCAAAGATGATTGAATGTTCATTGTCAAATAAATAAATCATTTTTACCAATTTTATGAAAAAATTTACTTTAATTATCAAATAAATTCATCTGATAATTAAAACGCTTATAATACTCAAGCGGTTTGTCATGTCCATAATATATATTTAAAAACGTTTGAACTATATGAATCAAGTGACATCAATAGTTAAAAAATTTGTTATTATTACTTAATGTTTTATATTTGAGCACCGTATGTAGGGGTCTGAGCGTTCATTGTCAATGAATTTTAGTTCGATGGATATAATTTCTTTTTAATTTGGAGTTGGGCCAAGTCAGATCATGTCAGATTTGAGTTCATGATAAACAAAAAATTGATTCAGCTCGATATAATAATATAATTATCCTTTATATATTTAAGGAAACTTATAATAATATCTCTCTTAATATATTTTTCTTCAACTAGACTCTTATTTTATCGAATATATATATATATATATATATATATATATATATATATATTTGTTAGATTGAATGTATATTTTACTCTAAAAGTCGGATAAAATTTTAAATAAGATAAAATATCTTTAAATTTGAATTAAATTAAATAACGAATGAAAGATTCTCAATCATTTGTCAATGAAATCTCAAACATCCCTATAGATAACGTACTAACTTATGATCTCTAAGAATAACGATTATTATTTAACTATCGAGATCATTTGATTCATACAAAATATTAAATACTTAAATCATATCTAAGTAGACAAAGAAACTAACATGACCAATATCATCTTTAATTAAAACTCGGTTTAGGGGACAAAATACGTGAACGAAAGACACGAAAAAGATATGAGAAGGAATAATATAGGTTAAGGGTTAAGGTGGCCCAAAAGACGCGTTCAATGCCATATTTTACGCTTAAGAAAGTGACCTTATATTAGAGGTTGAGGTCTTTATTTTCTCTTATGGCGATATTAGAGCGCCCCTTCAAGATTTTGTTGTCCATAGACCACCATTTACAATAACATGCACGACTTTAGGTGAGCTCGGTAGCAAAAAATTATTGTTAATTTTTTAGATTTTGGGTTTGAGTATCGAGAATATTAAGGTACGAACATTCAATTTCAAATGGTTAAGAGTAATTTGTGAACAAATATTACATTGTAATTACTCCAGATTAATAAAAAAAACATTTATTTATTAATAAATTTGGTCAAATCACATAAAGGTCATTGTAGTTTTTCATGGATTTTTAAATAATTTCACTTTTAAAGTTATATCCTTAAATTAATTTGACCTGATTTATTCTTTTTGAAAATTGATAATATAACATATAATAATTAAAAAGTTTTTTACGTTTGAATAACTAAAAATATATAATCATTGAAAATTATAACCAAACAAATTTTTTATCAAAATAATTTTAGATGATATACGTATATGGGACAAACTTTAAATTTTTTTTTTGAAAGGGGCACTTTGTATATAACTGGAAATATACAGAGTATATCACCCCAAAGGTCTCATTAAAAAACCTCCATAATCCTAATTGGAGGAAAAGGAATGCAACTTGGAGTGTAATAGAAAGAACAATCACAAGGGACATACATACATAAACAAAATAAATATATAAACTTTCAACACGAAGGGATCAACAACAGCCGATAATACACATGGCTCGCACGAAGAGCAAAAACACACCAAGCACCGACACAAAAACAAAACAATCTGCAACATAAACAAAACAATCTGCAACATCAAACCATAAAAATCGGGATCATCCCGGCAACCAAAAAGCACGCACTCAGAGTTTCTCGATATGAAAGAAACCAACAACATCATAATACCACAATCAAGAATTCACA